CGAGATTGGCTTACCGGCTCGTTGAACATAATCTCATACTCGGTCTACGCGATCACAAGCATACGGATAGCAGAGCGGAGACAACGAAAGGCCGAGGCAGACAGACAGAGAGAGAGAGGACAGGGGGAAAGATAAAACGTACGGGAGTTGGGTTTTTGGATCGAACTGAATGTTTTGTTTATGATCTAATGTGTTGCGGTAAGGAAACAAAGCAAACGATGTTAGTCCAATTGAAATGACAAAGTGGGGAACTCTGTGTTCTCCCAGGTTGATAGGAGCTAGAGAATGAAGAGGAGTTGGGTGGAAAAGACTGTTGTTACGATAGTCTCAGTAATCAGAGCTTAGACCCTCCAGAAAATTAAAGGGTGGCAAAGAGTGCTGGTCCGGGAGAAACTACGTAATGAGTCAAACGAACCGGCATTTGGAGTCGGCGTACGAACGTTGTACTGGGGTTGAACATTCTGAAGGACAAAAGAGAGAGCCGCTTGATCTTAACTTCTTCCTAGCAGAACACCAGAAGCCCTGATAAAACATGTACGTTCCGGATTGATCGACTACAGATCTCGTGAACGGTGGACCACAAAACCAACTAATTAATCAAGGACTTTTCATTTTCATAATGATTATACCATGATTTGCCTGACACACAGTCTGTCCTTAGACAAGTGTGAAATATAAAAATAATCAATTCGTTGAAAGGTGGGAAACGAATATGGCAAAAGCAAATGTAAGATACCTCATGCCGGCATGTTTGTTCAGATTTACGCGAGTTATTATAGCTGAAAGTTGTTGATGTCTTGTGAAACAGTACAGACCAAAGGTCTCGGATGATTTTCTCTTACGAGTATTTGATTGTCCTAGTTACACTGGATTTTGATGGGCATGGCTACCACCATGTGAGCACAGCACCACCGGTTCTTTTGTCAGATGCCTGATTCACAGTGTGAGTTTGAAATTCATTCATCGAGTAAACTGATAAACGTTCGCAAGCTAGAGTATGAAGTTACATATATAATCTGTGTGGCACAACGGTTGGCACCAATTGCGCGCCTAGTCAGTGGCAAATACAATGAGTAAACGACAGCTTTGTACGATCAAGGAAGTTAGTGGATGCCTTTTCAGGCATTAGATAGACGTATTCCGTGAACAAAAGCAGCCACTACCCGGGTGTTCTTTGTGTACACATGACGATAAGAACCGTTTGAAGGAAACGAATGATTGTGATGTCAAGCACTTGTGTCACTAATTTTAGCAGGACGCACAAAAATGTTGCTAGCCTTTACTTTGTTTCAGTGAGAAGGAGATAGGTGAAGGGCTGGGTATTTGGATAGTAAATGAATGAACAAAACTGAGGAGTCCATAATGGATTACAGACAATTTACGCAAACATATACTCAATTATTGGCTGATTGTGACCACATCTGTCTAACTTACAACTGCCTCATCCTCAGCGCAGAGACCTCTCCAAGAGGCTGAAGTGAGGAGCACACAAATAGATAGATGCGTGGAGCGTGGTCGGTTACTACAAATAAGCGCATTAGACAGCCACTACATTGAGAAATCTAGCAGTCTAGATGCCGCAAACCCATGGCACCGGTGCTAAAAACTGTGCGACCAACGCTTACGCTGAACGAAGCTAGCAAGAGGACCGAGAGAGGGAAGCCCGAGGTAAGGCTTAGTCACAAAAAAAGATGCCGGAAACCATGACATCGATCAAAACTGGAGATGAGTGAGAGAGAGGACATGCAACACATCAGTCGAGCAAAAATACTCAAATGAGATCGATGCCTTTAGCAGAGGTCCTGCGCGAATGAAGTTGCTGAGAAACGTACGCGGAGATTTTTAATCCTCAGTTGTGGAAAGCACTTCACAGTGCAAATAGAAAAAAATAATGATAAAACACTATGTCAAACCAATAGGAAAAAGTGAAACTCAGCATGAATGTATGACATCACTCACCATTCCCACGACCCCTTTGCCTCTGACGGATTCAAGGCTCCCGGTGATGGAGAACACTTTCCAGAACCGTTCACGAAGCTGGACGCGTTCTGATGATAAATTCTCCAAACGAATAAGATATCGCCACTAGAAACGAAGGGAATGACACTTGGTTCGGGTGTGCTAGATGGCAAGGACTTGTTGGAATCTATTTTTAATCTACACTTTTACACACCCTTGTGCGCTGAACAGCAGAAGGGTTAAACCCCATATTGATGAGGGTCCGGTATTCATTTAGGCTTTATGAGCCGGATGGTAACCACCGGTACAGTAGATTACGTCCGAAACCGTGCTGCTCTCGAGGGTTGTGGGGAGATTCAACATCTACACTAATTTTTCTAGTCTTAATACATCCCGCGCGCACAGCGAAAACCGATCCAAGCTCTTAAAACTCCCCTGGTCAAGGGAAGAGGAAATCGCTTGTAAAAATGGCCCTGATGTAGCATGACTAATTCCGATTACGTAATTCAATAACATACCGTTTGGGAGTTTCCTCGGGTTCACTAATTACCACACACATAACTCATTTACCTTTCTGTTTAACCTTAGTGATTTTTGTTTCATGCAAATTTGATCGTCAAGTCTTGCAAATGAATTCACCGAGAACATATGTTCGCCTAAATTGTGGGTATATTTCTTGATTTGGTCTATAAATGTTTCACTCGTACACATGACAGAGGAGTGCTTGCTAGCATTATTTGTGAGGAGCACATATGTGAACGATTAGCATTCCTATTGCACAAAGGTAGCAGTTTAGAGAGATCCTAAATATAGCTTGCTTATTTCTTGACACGAAATTGGAAAAACGCGTGCCCCAGGTCCACATTTAAAAACACATTAGAGGAGACCGCAAGATACCACACAAATCTACGTCCAGCAGATATGCGTCCTACTGAGAACGTTTTCAATTAGCGGATGGGAAAACGCTTGCTTAGATCTTTAATCGTGATTAAGTGGGCGTTGCTTCATTCATTTAACAGGATGGGAACGTCCAGTGGCGACGTCTGAGGACAAGGCAGTTTTCTGTGCAACAAAAACTACACATGTCCTCCATGCATGCACCTATCTGACTGAACACCAGATAAAACTATAACCGTCACCCAATTTCTTGCATATAGCAATCGGTTGTCCAAAGGCTGAAGCAACATCCTCGAAGAAAAAATACCGATCGGGACTGGGAATACCATGTAGTAATACTATACGCCCACGCTTCTTTATGGAACTATCCAAGAACCAAACCTTTCGTCACGGAGGAGAGCAAGTTACCAGAAAATAGTAAAGAAGAAAATTCTACGAGAGAAAAAAAGAAATAAACGCACAGTCATGCAGTAAAGAAAAGAAACAGCTTACATAACGTATGTGCTTCTCTGGTCGCTCCTGAAAAAAGGGAGGACAAAAATAGACAAACAAACGCAGCCAGATTGTGAATAGAGATTTGAAAAAAAAATAAATAGGCGGTTATGCAGATATAGCTGAACCCAAAATCATACTAAGATCAAAACGACGAGTTATTTAACACAGCAAAAAATTAGCAAATTTACGCAAACGATGAATTAATGCATGGTAAGTGTACCCAAAGAGATGAAAAAACTGTCGGTTGAACGGCTGAAGCTGGTCACATTCACCCTTAAAACTTCACCTCGTGAAACCGGCACACGGCTATAAGAAGAAGAACGTACTTAGACAGTCATTTTGCTGCCTGGTGTATTTGCAAGAAATACGGTCTAAGAATCGGTCCCCCTTGTCTCGTACTCAATCCCAGTGGACTCAACGAGCGTGCTGCATTGACGTGTTCCCGGAAAAGCAGAGTTGCGGAAATGCATGTGTAACAAGCGACATCAAACAAGCAATTCGATATTTGTCTGTGTCGAATAAGGCAGACGGTCTGTGGAAATATATCTACCGACAGATACCACGGACTAAACGCAGACCTAGACGCGCGGGAACAGTGAAAACAGACAATACGCAATCAAGAGAGCCCAGACCGGGTGCTCCAGCAGATCCATGTGTGGGCTCAACAAAAGTCTCTGTTGCGCGTACACTAGTAGTTACACGCACCATGGCAGATCACGAAGTGGGGCGCGAACGGAAGCGCACGAGGCTGAGGTGAATCAAATATGCCCACAGTCCCTCCTCTACGCGGTACGCGACTGTCTGCCAATGTATTGTGGTTCTGTATGCGTAGGCAGATCAGAATAGCACGTGACCATCTCAGAGGTGGATGAATGTCGTGCGTTTGCATTAGCACGCGCGTGTGGCTGCACGCGACGATCACATACGGCACGTAGACCGACTGGGCGCCTACAGTTAATCGGGTCGAATCGACCCAATCGAGAAAACAAACTCCAGCTGGCTGGCTCGCTCGCCAGCAGGCAGGCAGGCAGGTCAGTCGGCTGACTACCTGGTTGGGGCGAGAGGCACACAAACCGTAGACTGGTTTCGTTGGCAATGCACATGCACACATAGGTGCACATACGAGCTGAGGGGGATGAAACCAATTACAGGACGATCGATAGACAGACAGACAGGCAGGCAGGCACGCTCTGACACAAGGACCGAGTAAAGTGAAACGGAGCAAAGTTGAATGTTTGGGCTGGCCCATACCACAAACACCGGTCTGTCTGCCTTCGACACAGATATGAGACATGATGCCATGGCTGGTGTGCAAATGGTCACATTCGCGAACGATGGATGATGTGCCATAACTATACGGGGTAGGGGTGAGTTGGAAGAAGAGAAACGCAGACTGAAATTACCGCGTATTACCAGATCGAAAATGGTCTGTCTATCGCTCTACGTATCAGTCTGTTTGTCTACGTGCGTCTATGTCCCCCTTAGCATTATTTCAAGCGTCAGTGTGTCCGATATAGCACGAGGAACTCGATAATTTTGAAGCCCTGACACACACTCGCACAGGCAAATCCCGATGGATAGGTACACAAACAAAACAGGCAAATACGCATGGACCAGATCCGATTGGGTCCCGGATAGGTTTACTCACTCCAACAACCAGACGTCGACCCATGAAGAAGGGGACCGTGGTCGTCCGGATACCCTCGGTCACTTCTCGATGTACCGAGGTTACCTCCAGGCTTTGCTTTCGTGCTTCAATCCAACGGCGCAGGTGATCCGTGGGGAGAAGTGACGGCTCTGTGGATACAGGAGTGAGCAAAAAAATACCATGAGGATTTAGTGGTTTTGCAAATCTATTGCTCAAACGGTTTGGGAAATCTTGCCATGCGTTTGGGTTCTCATTAAGAAGCCTCGTGTTTTCCACGTATCTTAACTGAGGCAAATGCCAATCGGTTACCCCCCAAATCGAATAATTTCCATAAACGTATCCACAGATAGAAAAGAACGCAAAAGGAAACCTCGGGTGAAGGATACTCGATAATTTTACCTGA